TTCTCTTTGGGATGACGAAAGGTCTCCATTCTCCTCTCCATGTGGAGGGGCGTGGGTTCCATTCTCCTTGAGACGAAAGCATGACGAAAGGTCTCCATTGGGCGTGGGTTCCATTCTCCTTGGGACAAAAGCATGACAAAGGTTCCATTCTCCTCTCCATGTGGAGGGGCGTGGGTTCCATTCTCCTTGGGACGAAAGCATGACGATCTCCTCGGGACGAAAGAATGATGAAAGGTCTCCATTCTCCTATCCATGTGGAGGGGCGTGGTTCCATTCTCCTCTCCATGTGGAGGGGCAGAGGGGCGTGGGTTCCATGTGGGTTCCATTCTCCATTCTCCTATCCATGTGGAGGGGCGTGGTTCCATTCTCCTCTCCATGTGGAGGGGCGTGGTTCCATTCTCCTTTTCATGTGGAGGGACAGAGGGGCGTGGGTTCCATGTGGGTTCCATTCTCCTTGGGACGAAAGCATGACGAAAGGTCTCCAAGAAGAAACTCCATGTGGATTCTCCTTGGGACGAGAGCATGACGAAAGGTCTCCAAGAAGAAACTCCATGTGGAGGGGCATGGGTTCCTGACGAAAGGTCTCCAAGCATTTTTTCTTGGGACGAACTGCATGGAGACCTTGCAATTCGAGTCTGCATGGACTCAAAGCATTTCTTCTTGGGATGGGACTGCATATTTCATCAGTCTGCATGGACTCCAAGCATTTCTTCTTGGGACTGGATGGGATGAAAGGTCTCCCAAGTTCGAGTCTGCATGGACTCCAAGCATTTTTTCTTGGGATGAGGAATTGCTTGGAGACCTTGCATGACGAAAGGTCTCCCAAGTTCGAGTCTGCATGGACTCCAAGCATTTCTTCTTGGGATGAGGAATGGGATGGGACTACATATTTCATTAGTCTGCATGGACTCCAAGCATTTCTTCTTGGGACTGCATGGGACGAAAGGTCTCCCAAGTTCGAGTCTGCATGGATTCCAAGCATTTCTTCTTGGGATGAGGAATGGGATGGGACTGCATCTTTCTTCTTGGGATGAGGAATGGACGGGCCTGCATGGAGGGCGGGTTCCAGTGGGTTCCATTCCATTTCTTCTTGGGATGAGGAATGGGTTGGGTTCCTTTCCATTTCTTCTTAGGATGAGGAATGGGTTGGGTTCCATTCCATTTCTTCTTGGGATGAGGAATCTTGGGATGAGGAATACGATGGGACTGCATATTTCTTCTTGGAATGAGGAATAGGATGGGATTGCAAGGAGGGCGGGTTCCATTGGGTTCCATTCCATTTCTTATTGGGATGAGGAATGGGTTGGGTTCCATTCCATTCTTATTGCGATGAGGAATGGGTTAGGTTCCATTCCATTTCTTCTTGGGATGATGAATGGGATGGGACTGCACGGAGGGTGGGTTCCATTGGGTTCCATTCAATTTCTTCTTGGGATGAGGACGAAAGGGGAAAGGGTTAGTCCCAAACAAAAGGTCTCCAAGCATTTCTTCTTGGGTTCTTGGGTTCTTGGGACTGCTTGGAGACAGGTTCCATTGGGTTCCATTCCATTTCTTCTTGGGATGAGGAATGGGATGACGAGGAACGAAAGGTCTCCAAGCATTTCTTCTTGGGACTACTTGGGTTCTTGGGACTGCTTGGAGGCCGAGACTGCTTGGAGACCGACTGCTTGGGTTCTTGCGACTGCTGGGTTATTGGGACTGCTTGGAGACCTCCTTGGGTTCTTGGGACTGCTTGGGAAGAAAGGTCTCCAAGCATGGAGGGCGGGTTGCTTGGGTTCTTAGAGACCGAATGCTTGGGTTCTTGGTACTGTTGGGTTCTTGGGATTGCTTGGAGACCGACTGCTTGGTTTCTTGGGACTGCTTGGGACGAAAGGTCTCCAAGCATGGAGGTCGGGTTGCTTGGGTTCTTAGAGACCGACTGCTTGGGTTCTTGGGATTGCTTGGGATGAAAGGTCTCCAAGCATGGAGGGTGAGTTGCTTGGGTTCTTGGAGACCGACTGCTTGGGTTCTTGGGACTGTTGGGTTCTTGGGACTGCTTGGGACGAAAGGCCTCCAAG